CTGACATGCGTTTGCATGGGGTCGAGGTGAGGCAGGCAGTACTTACTACCCCTGTGACTGTCAAACGAAAACAGGAGTGCAAACTAAACAGTACTACTCATTTCATAATGTCTATATGAAAAATATATATATCCCAAACACCGGCATATGAGCTATCTGTTACTACAAACCTTCTTCAATTAACCCGAAGCCAAGCCAATCTACAGTGTCTCGCACGTTGACCTCCGAATCTACTCCAGCAATTCTACAGAGCTTTCCGAAATGGTAGGTACTTTGTATCAACTGCTTTAGACGTCGGAGGAAGGCTCGGCATTCCTAAATGCTTTTGCTACAGGGTAAAAGGACACTAGGACAGAGATCGGCCAATGCTCGGGGAAATCCGCCCGCGCCCGACCGAGTGACCGGCCAAAAGTTTCAACAAGCGGACGGACCACAACCTCAAAGGACAAAACAAATTGGCTACTGCCTAGAATCCCTAGAAAGGATGGCAGAGTTTCTGTGCGCTTCATCGTTCAAACTTCAGGCTAACCCAGTCGATCAAGGTATGGAAAATCCCGCAGTCCATCGGGGCTGTTAGTCCACTGACCATGCCAACCCCGGCTGCGCGCTAGCCGTCCCTTGAGTGGGCATGGTATTCGGCCGGTGTAGTGAGTTGTGCCGTTGATGGGCAGCAGGAATCGCCGAGTAGATATTATTGCATGTGTGCTAAGAAAGGATTCTCTGTGTGTGAGGAGTATGATCGTCAACCTTTACATCCGAAAATCTGTTTCAAATTTGCGAAGAATGTGGAAATCTCGGGCAGTGCAACAGTTATCTACAGAGTACACCGGCGGCATCCTCCGCCTGAGGATTATCATTAACAATCATTATTCAGTCACGGTTCATAATTGAGCCCTGGACTCCGGAAATCATTCAATGGTGAAATCCACCACCACCGGAACATCACCGGGGTCAACCGGAGAAATCCTACGACGCTCCACTTTCCCCCATCGACTCCGTCTAGTACGAGCCAGTCAATCCTAGCGGCTCCGAACCTCAACCCAAGGAACCAACCGGCGGCCGGTCAACAAGGAGGTGAATCTTCCGGAAGCATGATGGAAGTGGAACGGTTAGCAGCGATGGACCCATGGGTCCCAGCGCGTGGGAATTTGCTCCCTACCGAGGAAGCGTGGTTGACTGGTTGTCGTATCTACTCCGTATTTTCGGATTCGGAACGTCGTCACTCTGTGGGATGGAATATTTTTTAGACCAGCTACTATTCAAGACTTTGCGGTGATCATCGATCATACGATGGGCAAGTGATGATGCTCGTTCTTTCGAGCAAAGAAAGGAAGGTGGTATCGACCACTGTGACCAAAACAAGTGCATCTGTCACATTTAGCAGCACCCCAGTCCCCAAGCAGCCGAAGCACAAGAACCGCAATTAAGCATTCAGGGTCTTTTAATTGCGGTGGGCAATCAACCCCGGCTCGGCGTGTCAGCTAAAGTGATGAATAGCTGGAAGGCGTCCAATTCCCGGCCGGCTCTTGGCACCCACCCGGCACCACGACAAATGGCAGTCTACGCTTTCTCACAGCAGTCAGATTAAACGTGCTCTAGTTGATTCTAGTCGCGCCTTAGTTATCCCTGTTATATGTTATGCTGACAATCTAACGGCCAGCATGCCGTCATTGTTGATTGCCTAGTGGATGACGCTCCATACGCAGCACACCACTGTCATCACAGGATCTCAAGACCCAGCACGGAGCCCTGAAGGAACACACATACAACCTGCCACCCTCTCACGAGGCACCAAGCAAAGACGCATGAGTTTAATTTTCATCTGCAAGAGACAGACTTGGATTGGATCGTCCTTGCATCCTCCCGTCTAGTCTAAACCTTGGTCTTTCTGTGTGTCGATAATCAATCTACCCGGAAGTCATGACTTGACGTAGACTGGTCCAGGTACATCATTTGAGAGTTTACACCCTTACTTGGACATGGCTATCAACCATCCATCCGCCCATTACCCCTTGAATCAGAGACCAAAAACCCTCAAATTGATGCTAGGGTTATCCCACAAACCCTGATATCGGAAATTAAATGCGCCAGTAAGTACTGTGTTGAATGCTGGCATACCCACCAGAACCACCCGTATAATTTCTTTCCTTGTCCATACTCATTTCCAGCTGCACGGGATACGCCATATGGGAAGTTAGGAGCAGCAGACAGGAAGAAAGATAGCACAGAACGAGGGACGTCAAATTTTGCATGCAATAACAGGTCTTAAACTGCACGCGCCGTGCATACGCAGCAAGTAAGTAGAGTCCGGCCCACCCGGAGCGGACGGACAGATAGACGGTAAGAAGGGGTTTTTTTTTTCTTTTTCTTTTTTTTTTTTCTGATCGGCACGTTTTGGTTGGGGATGAGCGGGATGTTGATCATGGTGGCTGGTTATGGTTATCTACACACTAGACAAACACAGCGAACTGAACACCAGTATCTACGGAGTATACCGTAGTAATCAAGTAAGATATATCTATTTTAATTTTACTTCAATTTTTTTTTCTCACTAGTTTCACCTCTCTTAATTCCTTATCCGCAAATTGATGGAGCCGTGCACTTGCTAAGCATGTAGACGAAGTCAAGCAGGGAGGAGACATGTCCGCTTAGTCAAGAAGTCAGAAAGTCTCTTAGGTTAACTGGACTATCTATCTAGATGAATCCTAACTAGTCAGTTCACTTGTCACCTTACTTGACTTGCCAACTAGTAAGTTAGTTAGTTAGCAAGGCTTGGCCTGGCCTATTTGTTCGTTTGTTTCTCCTCAGCCAGCCGCACTTTATCCTTCCCCCATTTAGCCAAGATAACCCATTCTACTCGTAGCATAGTACGGTACTTGTCTCATATAGGATAAAAAATAGAAATAAACCCAGAAGAAAAGAGCTAAATAGATACGTAGTGAGAAGTAAAAGAAAAGAAATGCCGACCCAAGCGCCCCCCACAACAAAACACAACACAACAACCACCAAACTAAACTAAGTGGCAGTAGCCCGCCCGTCAATCCATTTCCCATCCAGGCGCAATCCGAACCCTAATTGCAAACCGTAGTATGTCTCACCTGTAGTCAGGTCACGGTCTACTCTAGTTGGCTGGTTGGTTGGTTTGGTTTGGGTGTCGGTCTAAGGCACTAGTTTTATTTTTTTTTCTCATGTTTATTTTTAATTTTCTTACTTACTTTGTGCTTGCTTAGCTTTTGGTTCCATTTTTCTACTCTCGCTCTTGTTTGGTTTCTGTATTCTTGATGCTAATTTAAGCATATGCTATTATAGTCTGTCGGTACCGAAGTAACTAACTACTGTGCTACTGACTTAGACTGACTGGCTTTTGTGGGTATTTGGGGGGGAAGGGAGTATGGAGAGTTACTATAGTATGGTGGTTTATTTGGTACTGCATGGCAGTATTATGATTCATTTAGTACATCACAAATTCAGAGGTGGTGAAAACATCTAGTCGGATATGTATGTTGATGATCACCACTACTATCACACGTCCCATCATCCTGGATTCGAACAAACAATTAGCCACACATTTTACCAATGTATCAATTTCTCTATCTCCCGTTAATACCATATACTACTATGATCGTTATCCTCCTCAACCCCTCCAAGCATAAAATCCCTAAACTAAGAAAGTACAGCCGTTGCCCCGGTGTGGCTGTGCACTGCCCTACCGAGCTACGTCCCTCCCGAATTCCAACCAGTAAATACCCTCCCTCTATCCACTTGCCCATCCATCCACCCATCTATCACAAAGTAAATCAGGGGCTCGTGAAATGCGGGATAGGTCCGAAACAAGTTCAACCTAAAAGTGGCTCCTTAGCAAAAGCAGACCAGTAGTCTACTGATGGATGAATACTTACTACCTACTACCCTACTAGGCAATACCGGAGCTAGTTCTACTTCTGATCATAGAGAACAGACCAGAATAGAGCAACCCAAAACCTCGGGACGAGCAGTGTGGAACTGGGCTCCAATCACTTACCTGGACAGAGCGTCAACGGCGTTCTCCGTACATACCAGTACCTATAGCTGACTTCCATGTGGCTACTAGATGTCTATCAGGAGGAGTAGTGATGTGCATGTTTTACAAAGTACAAGTGGGTAACTAGTAGGTGGATAGCATGGTTTCCTACAAAGTAGATGGATATACACTCCGTACCTACGTAGAAGTAGCTATGCCTGATACAGAGTATATACCAATCCACCAAACCTGGAGCAAGGTACTAAACTAGTCTATACCAGTTAACACCCACCTAACTAACCAACATTAGATGGTATCTATGTGCTAATTGAAGAAAGAAAAAGTGGCGTATGCCTCAGCTTGAAACATCTGCGCCACTTACTTCTCCATTTTCACTCCCGTTGTTCGGAGTTACTATTATGTTATGAGATGGGATAGGGTACGGAGTATCTGGGATTTGTTCGTGCAGGCACACTGGACTACGGGATCACCTTCTTGTGGAGGATGTGCCGACAGGGCTGCTTCACTAGTCGCTTTGCAAAGTATGTCTTGGTTGTGGTTGTGGTTGTGGCTGTCTGTCTGTGTCACACGAGGCTCAGTCGTCCCGGGACGGATGCAGTGCACGGGCGAGATGGTAGCCAGTTGACAGGGTTGGGTTTAAGGTGGTGGGAGTAAGGTTTGGATAGGTAGATTGACTGCCTCGTGGGTGTGTACTACGTTTGGGATAAGCATGTTGGTACTATTAGTACTTTAGTAAGTACTAGTATCTTATATGTCGAATTCCATGTTCGAGTAGTAAGTTCAGGATATATATTCTAGTCAGATTGCTAGTACAACGATATTACTATGTAGTAGTGTCATACTTCCAGATCAGAGATCTCATTATTTCTGGGCTATGCCCTATTTACACGATCCAGACCATAGATAATTCGTTGAACATCCCTAGATCCCACGTTATGCTTTAGTGGTGGTAGTGGCGGCTATTCTCACCCCCCATAGCGCAGCCTCTATCGTATATAGCCTTTAATACTCAGGCTATTTAGTGAGACATGCCCATCCATTCGGTAAATGCACTCTCCTCAACCATGAATTTACCAACAAGCTGAACACCTCAACAAAAGTGGAATATCCAAATCCCACATACCCAGTTCGTAAATCTTGCTGTAGCTCATCCATACTCCATCCAAGGATTCCCCCCTTCCCCCCCCTAGGACCAGGATCACCAAGCCCCATAGACATAGACCCATACCTCTCTACTTACTACTACGTAGCAGACTAGTAAGTGTGCATACGCACAGCATCCATCCCAAACCCCCTATTCACCACCCACCCCACTACCAGCTGAACAAAGTTTCTGGGATGTGATTCACTCGAATCCAGAAGATACTACAGTAGCTTCAAAGGATTGACCACCCTATCCATCGTGTACCTCTCTTTTTCAGACTCAGAGGAAACCCTCACTAGCGAGCGATGATCACCAACCAAAGGATGGAGATATCGATGGGGAAGGGAGGAAGTTTCAAAGGAAGCACCGCACCCGTGTGCAATCGAGAAAACCAGAAGCATGCCCGATCATCCTATCCTGTAGGAAAGGAGGGGCGGGGGATAGAGAAGAGAAAATCCCTATTCCCGCATTAATGCGCTAGTTACCACCTGACACTGACTCGGTCAGTCAGCTGATCCGGTCACCTTCGCCTTTTGCTAGTTAGTTTTTTGTTTGCTGAGGGCTTTCTAGTCATACCCCATCTCAGTCCATTCTTCGACGTCAGTCGTCGATTTGTGCTCGCGCACAAGTGTCTAGCTCTCGTTCATTCTATCTACTACGTACAGCTTCGCCGTTATGGATGAGGGGAGAGGTCAGGGTCATGCATTGTGACGCAGGTGTGTGTGTGTGTGTATATCAGCCTAACGGTGAGATACTAGCTGGGGACGGTCATCCTTAACCCTGTTTCTTCGGATCCGGGAGCTAACAACGTGCAATGGGTGGCGCTTGAGCAGTGACATCCGGTCTAGTGGACATCATCCTGGAATTTCCGACTTCGCGCTGCATGGTCGAAGCCTATCCTGCATCCCGCACGGCGTACGCTATCCAACCAGCCCATAGCCTATGCAGGTCCTCTCCGCTGGTCGAAAATACCAGAAACATGGCCAGTCACAGTCGTAGCCGGGCCTGTCGTGCTGGGACGGCGGATTTAATGGCTTTGAAAGCTAGCCAGGGAATGATTGGATTGTCTATGGGTCGTTGCCAGAAATAGGATCGGTAGCAACACCAGATGGTCATCCCGGTTTTGGTAGCATGTCTCACTCAACCCGCCACGGCTGCTGCAAGCCTGTGGGACTTGACCGAGCTTTCATTCAGTGCTATCTATTCGAAGATGACTACCAGAAAGTAGGACAGTCCCTGAAATGAGAAATCTTTTTCGTTTGCCCACGGGAATAATATCAGAATATTTCGGCGCTCTCCTCCACAGACCGACTATAGCAGAGAGGAAACAGTGCCCCCCAAAATCGATACATGCCCCAGTGATTCTCCTTTTCTGAAACTAGTCTTCGAGCAAATGTGCATTCCGTCCGAAAAGCGTTCGTACTGCGCAGATGAACAATCTGCTGACATCAGAGCTGGGTCTCTGCTAAAACCCGACGGGTTGACCACTCACCTCGTCGTATCTCTGTAGAGCCGAGTAGTACTGCACCGAGAGCCCAAAATTCTTTCTCAGTATCGGCTTTCTGATCCTTCTCGCAGCCGTGGCCAAGATGCGTGACTGTCTCTCGCGACTCAAATGGATGTGATCACCGACAGCGACCCCTCCTGGTAACTTCCAGTTTTGTCGCTCGTAGACAACTTCAACTAGCCGGGTAAGCGTGTCCGCCTGCCATGTGGTCAAGAGCTCATTATGAAACGCCCTAACGTGGCGTTGAAGCTTCGACAAATCGGTTTTGAGTCGGAATACATTGGAGCGTAGCGTGCTCATCTTATGGTCCAGGTTCTGATTGCTGACCTTCAACGACTCAAGAGCCGAGGTGTATCTCTGGGTAGACATTAGCATTGGTGCCTGCAGACACATTGTATACCCTGTTGCCTGTTTGATGATCGTCCTGGAGCTGACACACCGATAGTGAGGACAATCTCGCCTTTCCTACTATACCATTCTCTTTCGAAGACGACAACTGAATCTGCGACCGATAAAATGACATCCCAGGTCCATATAGGGTGAGAATATCGACATCCATTTCGCCGACTCGAGTATGATGCGCTATCTAAACAAACAATGAGGGTTCAACTATCCTTGGATATGAAACGATAAACGAGCTGGTGGCCTGAAAGCTAGGGAGTGGTGGTGATGAAGCCCAGAGGCTTTGGAGTCAACTTTGAGGGGTTGCGACATGGAGGCAAACGGATTACCTGGCACAGGGAAGGTGCGACTACACATTCAGGCTGCTCTGGCAAGTACCGCTTCATCGTGTCCATTACGTTCCTCATAATGAACACTGTCACAGAAGGAAAGCTAACATCTGGCAATGATATCTACATCACAGTTTGCTTCCAGAGGTCTTCCCGAACTCAATCACCAGCTTCCCGAATTGCTTCCCTTCCCTCATATCCTCGAAGATTCCATCGATCGCAGGGATATCTTCCAGATCAGTCTGCAAAACGCGTGAGATGACTGGATGGATCTTGTGCGTCTTGATAAACTCGACCATCTCCTTGAACTCCTTGCGCGAGCCCATCGTACAGCCCCGGACATCAATATTCTTCAGAACAGCCTTCATGGAGAACGGCATCTGCGGTGCGACCGTCATACCATACACACAGAGAGCACCACCAGGCTATTTCAGTCAGATATAGTCTAGACGTACTCACATAGCGAGAGGGGGGAGAGGTCTCCTCACCTTAAGCAACTTGACAGCCTTATCCACCGAATCCCCTCCTGCTCCGTCAATAATCGCATCGAAAGCCACTTTCCCTGTCGGCAACAACTCCAATAATTTCTGCTCCCACTTATCCTGCTTGTAATTCACACCTCCCTTAGCGCCCAGCTCAATTGCTTTCCGAATCTTCTCCTCACTAGAGCTCGTCACATAGACATCCACACCCCTAGCCACCGCAAGCTTGAGCGCCATCAATGCCACGCCGCCTCCAATGCCAGTCACCAGGACTGCAGCTCCTTTGCTCGAATTTCTCTCTCCAGCCTTGACCACCAGCGCTCTCCACGCTGTCAAGCCAGTAAGTGGAAACGACGCCGCCTCTGCATCCGACAGATGCTCCGGCACCTCTTCCAGCTCCCCTTCATCGATAGCGAGATACTCCTGCATCGTCCCTTTGTTGTACGATTTCGTCCCGCCCATGATCCTGTACCCTTTCGGATCTTCCGGTCCATCCAGAGACTCCTTCCACCCTACTCCGGGGTTGATGACCACCCGCTTCCCGATCCAGCGTTGCGGATCGCGCACTCCTTCACCGGCGGCTATCACGGTTCCTGTACCGTCGGCACCCATGGGAACATCAAAGGTGACGCCCGGATAGAGGTGTTGACGGAGGAACACATCGCGGTGGTTGAGCGATGTAGCTGTGAGCTTTACCAAAACCTCGCGGCCTTGAGGTACAGGCTGGGGAAGGGTCTTCACAGCGAGGGGGTAGTAGACTTGACCCGGCTTTCCGGGTTTACCATCGACTGGGTTGAGGAAGATGGCTTTCGACATTATGGCGTGGATTTTATATGATTTGGACTAGTTAATTTGAGCTGTAGATATAGAAACGGAATTTTTCAACTTGAATATATGTAGAGTGAAACGAGGAAAAGATGGAGCATGCATGCATGCACTTATCGGTTCGGTTCGGCGTGCGGGGATGAGGTGAGCTGTCTAGGCCGTTATCGGTTGCCGAGGATGTGCGTCGGGAGGAGACAAAGTTGCTTGCGGTGAAGATCTACGCAGCATATGATATTATCCAGACTAATCTCAAGAACAGGAACACTTAAGTTTGTGTTAAATTTGTTGGTTCTCGCGTAGTGCAACTCAATTGTTACTTGCAATTAACGTTACAAACCTTTTTCCAACAGTAATAATAGTGGTATATACTTGAGCCTCGGCTGAGAGAGCTGAACTGCAAATAGTACTATTAAGCATTGATTATAATATATATCTGCGACCAACACACTAATTGCAACACATCAACAATAGTAATCAAAGGGGAAAAAACATAAAAGTAATCTCCATGATAGATGGCAATATATACCACCACGATTTGCATCTGCCAAGAAATCAAACTAAATTCGAGCCAGTTGGGATTGCCATCCCTACCCCATTAACCAGGATGATGCCATGATCCTGATTCCCCCCTATATACAAGTCCAGCTTGGGTAGCTTACCGGCAATATAATCGTGCAGTTATTATTACAACTTGACTTTGAAAGTGCATCCACATCAACGAAATATGCTGTAGTTGGACTATAGTACATTCTGAGACTACAGTATGAGGCAATGTATATTGTTGTGTCTCCTTTAACTAGGCAAGATAGAAAGGTTGGCTGAGTCATTGACCATATCAAAAATCGGTTTTTGGAGTAAAGGAGAATCACACATTGCTAAGATGTCAGTGAAGCGGGAAAGACATACTCACTATGAAGACAGATGGTATTGCAGATGGTCTGCTGTCTGAGAGCTGCTGTTGCCTTGCTGGGCCCCGATTTTTAGACCGTGTGGAGAGGAGGATGGAGAGTCTGTTCTGAAGAGTTTATTCCCGGAAACATATCAATTGAATTAATTGATCGCAGCCCCTTTGGGGTTGTGGAAACGGTGATGAGCGCGAGATGTGACTGCATATCTTACCAAGGGCGTACTACGGTGGAATATAGTGGATGCTGTCTTGTTAAAGTCTGTCGATAGCAGCTATGTCATGAATGTATATTGATGCCTCTGAAGCCTCTTTGTTGACCTCGACGCAGATTGGTGCTAACGAGTACACTAATTGTTACTATACAATCATGTTAGATGGTTCTTGGAACGGTGCGGCTTTGGTTTGCCGATCTTATTGGGTTCTGTTTGCAATTATGCGATTCTGACTGCTGCCATTGGAAGTTATAATATTGATCTGCGAGAGTGCCGTGAATAGCAGTTGACAGATCAGCATTCTGTTTGGAGGAATGGTGAACTGCGGAAGATTGTTCGCGTTCGTCTGGAATGCACAGCGGCTCTATCCCTACACAGTATGTGTTCGCGCTATTGCAGTCCAAATGAGCTCTGGTCTGATTATTCCCAGTGTTGATAATGAAGGTATTTTATGATTGAGCATCAAACTGTCAATGACCTGTATATTGGCAGTGGATGATACGTTAGCAGAAACAAGCCACAGGCATCATCCATGTAGATTTTGCTGAAAGGTCGTACGAGAAGCCGATGGCCGTGCAAACATGTCTATCCCCAGCACTGCAGGCAAACCGGATTGTTGCAGATCGAGGATTGTGATGTTGTGTTGTACTGACTGTGGATGATTGCTTGTTGTTAAGTAAAGCTGCGATGGGATATGTGCCTCAGGCCGCAGAGTGGAGGTTGGGGTACGGTACGGATGGAAGTCATTGGCAAGTCACTGGCCACCTATTTTAGTATGTGGGTGTACCTGGCATGTACGTTGGCCGTATGGTATGTATGGGGCTGGTATGGAAGGTTGTTCTTCAGAGTGACGACACTGACTTCTCCCACACAATTCATTGATGATGCCTTACATTATGCAGTGCTGAATTACCTGCCTACTAGCTTGGAATAGTATATACAATGAAAAGGTAAGAAAGCAGGGAGTTGGAAGCTGGCTAACCACAATACTATGTAAATTGCCCGACCCTCAAAAAATTTTTTGACATTCTAAAAATACCCGGGGGAGAGCTTCCTCTCCATCCCAGTGGAATTTCTCTGACGTTGAGTAGAAGCGACACGTCGAGAGAAACCGAAGCGTTTGCGGCCAAACCACCAGTGACGGTGTCGGCGTGGCAGTAACCCATCGTAGGTTTGTCTGGGGATATTATGGCCACGCACTGTCCCGGAAATGCACCATCAAACTCCAGCTTTGGGGGAATCTTGGGATAACTGGAGATAGTCGGGTCGAATCTGACCTGTCACCTGTAGACTGAAATTAATTGCGATGGGCAGCTTGCACCACATGTAAGGCTGAGGATGAGCTATCTATCTATACCCGACCTTCCCTGGAAGCTATCCAGCGAAGAAAAAAAAAAGACAGAAACCAGACCACCAATTTGTGCGGCCGTTTCACAACCAGTGTGGGCTGAGGTAATAATAATAATAAACCAATTGCGGTCGCACAAGGCGATCTGGCGGTACGACCAAAAGCGCGAAAACGAAGTAAAAAAAAAAAAAACAGAAAAAACAACGAAAACAGTCACTTCGTCACGTCCGTCACGACCCGTACGGTGGTAATTCCACGGCCACCAGCTAATTCGCCGCAAGCCTCTTCATTTTTCTTGACCTGCCAGGAACTCTCGATCCTTTCGATCTTCTGATCTCGACTCTGGATCGTCTAGCGTTCTTGTTTTCGACCTCGACTTTCAATCCGCCCCCGGCTTCTTTCCAGATCTCTATCCCAAAGACACAAAGGTGTGTTCTTTTGCTTCCCCCCCCCAATCGTCTTACTGTCCTCCTCCACCTTGCTGTCTGCCTCTCTCCCCCTCGCTGATCCGTTCTCCTCACCAGCTCTACGGACTGCTGCTTGTCTCCAACCCACCCTTCCACATCTTCCCCCAGAAAAAACGTTCGCATCGCTCCTTGTTGTTTTCACAATCCAGGGTTTTAACTTGAATCATTCTTCTAGATTCTCGTCTCCCCGAACTTCTCTTTTTTTCCCAACTGGACCGGCATTCTTATCGTCCGTCGCCCAGCTACCGACCTTCATAATGCCCACGCCACTTCCGTCTAGTTTTGCCTCGGCCGCCGCTGGCAACACCCACGACTCCTCGAACAGGAGAGGGGATGGCTCTGCCGGTGGAGAATGGTACGCAATGCTCTTTTAACTGGTTCTATGCGGTCTACCCGCTGCTTTGGCCGCCGTCCTAGTCCCTCCCGGCGGTTTTGCGTGGCGGAGTTGAACTGACAACTCATCCTCAACCGGGGACATGCAGGTCTCGAACTCGCATGAATGGAGCAACACAGACTTTCCGCCGTCCGTCCGTTGCGACAAACCCTTCTCATAACCGGGATGCCAGCCAACCCACGTCGGCTACCACTCCCACCGTGGGCACCTACACTCCTCCGCATATGTCCTCGACCTACCAGTCCAGCGCACTCCGCAACGGAGCAGCTACCGACACGCGTTATTCAAAGGATCAGCTACTTAGTCTCTACAAAACCCAACGAGAGTCGGGCGTACTGGGGAAGAATGTTGCAGATTACTTCGTAGCTGACTGGAATCCCCACGAGACGTCACCTGTCAACGGCGCTTGGGGGAAACGGGAAGATTCGAAGGATAACCCCTCCGGCCCAGAAGTGTGCTGGGATCATGGGGGCCAGGTCGAGCCGTTGGGCCTGGTAGATATGACGGACGATGAGAAAGAGGTTTGTCTCTTTGCTTACCCCGCCTTGCTTGCTGCTTGAGCGTGTTTCTGCTTTTAAAATTTTTTTTTTCCGGGAGCCGTGCTGAAGGAGCGCAGTTATTTACTCTCTCCGTCAACTCCCCCCTTAAGCCGCCACCGACGAACGCTTCGAAGGAGAACGCTGGCGCCGGTACTGGTGGACGCAAGCTGTCCATCTCCCAAGGCCATATGAATAATTACAACACCGCATCCCCCAGTGCTGGGCGCCCCGGCCCCAGACGCCGGGAGACGGGCGACTCAACCGGGAATCCCATGTCTCCCACCACCAGCGGCTCTCGCTTTTTCCGTGACGAACCGAACACCTCCACTCCGCCCCCGTCCCTTTTGCGCCGCAAGACCGATTTTCGAGATACCTCTTCCGCCGCCCGATGGGAGGAGAAGGAGAAGGAAAACGTCGCTCGAGACGCAAACGCCGAGACTGCCTCTCCATTTGGTTCTCTGAAGCGGAGTTCGACCAATCCTTTGAGCGCGGCACCGGGCGCCTCGAATTCCCCTTGGGGATCTGCGTCGCAAAGTGCCAACTTCTCACCCATGGGAGCGTTTGGTGCGTTTTCTCTCGGCACGGCGACTACCCCGACAACCGAAAAGAAGGCTGGGTTTGGTAGTCTCCGCGGAGAGAGCCGTTTGAAGGGGCTGTTTTCGAAGGATAGCTCTGAGGACATTTCGGCCACTATCAAGGAGAAGTCGTCCCTTAGTAGCTTGGAACGCTTGGGTGATACGGAGGGTGAGAAGCGTGCTCAGTCGCCTTGGGGAGAACCCGTCAAGACGCGTACTGGCCGCAGCGAGACGAACCCCTTCTCGGAGGAGCCTCGCAGCGGAAGTGCCGCTCTTGGCGGGTCCCAGGAGATCAACACTCCTTCTCAACCTGCGGACCAGCTGGGATTCTCGGCTTTCGGCATGACCTCTAGCATTCCTGGATTCCGGGAATTGATGCAGAGCCATGAGAACTCACGCAACCCTACTCCGAGTCTGTTGCAGGGACATGAACCCACCAGCCCCACCAATACGAACCCATATCAGAGCCCCCACGGCGACCGAAGTGGTGGTGTTGGTGGTGGTGGCGGCGACGATGACGTGGAGACTGATGGTTCCGATATTCAGAACTCCACGCATCCCGGCATCACTGGCCTTCGTGATACCTCGTCTGCGTTTGGCTCTATCCGACGGGTAGGATCGGGCATCGACTTGC